AATTCCAGGAAAAGCTCACCAACTTGGGCACAGAAACAGGAAATAGGTCTCTAACGTTCTGAGAAGCTCTGGAAATCTTTAATGTATCCTGTTTTTTCCTTTTTCTTCTAAATTTTTTTTCTTCTCTGTGCCCCCAAAATTTTGTGGCCCTAGTGAGAAATGGCAGAGAATTAAAGTCATCAGGCTGGGCAAACTTCCTTTCCAACTAGAGGGTCTGAGGTCCCCAGAGGGTGGGGAAAACCTTCATACTTTTTCTCTCTGGTGGCTGGCTGCTTAGCTCCGACCTAGCACAGTCAAGTGCACCAGAGAGTAGGGTAAAGAAGCCTCCACCACCCAAGCTGGCTGGAGGGCTGAAAAGGTAAGCCCAGGGACCCAGACACTACTGAGAAGGTTACAGTGAGGAAGGGCTTTGGGAGAGCAACCCCTGAAAGTTGCTCATGAACTCTTGGGCTTACCTTTGAGCTCTACATGTATGGATCTGACCCTACACAGATGACGTAGACTTTTGAGTGCTGGAACATGGGCTAGACTACTGCCAGAGTCCCAGGCTGGCCACTAGGTGGCACCTGTGTGAGACAGATCCACTGCTCAAAGACTTCACAGCGATCTCAAACCACACAAGTCTTGAGGGAACTTGGAATCTGTAGTCTGAATCCTTTGGAGTGGTTATCTTCTAAACTAAAGATGATAATATTCACTGTAAGATTTTAATAATAACCAGAATCTCAAAACATAGTATTTAAAGTGTCTAGGATACAATTAGCAAACTGAAAGCCACAGAAACCTCAACAGCTACTCTTGAGATGAAACAGGTACTAGAATTATTTGACAAAGATTTTCAAGCATTTGTTAAAAATATTGTACAAGTAAAGGAGGGTACTCTCAAAAAATACAGAAAGTCTTGCAAAGAAATAGAAGATACAAAGAACTAAGTGGAAATACTAGAAATGAAAAAATTAACAACTAAAATAGAAAACCCACTGGATGGACTGACTAGTGGAATAAAGATGATGGAGGAAGCAGTAAATTTATACAAAAATAAATAAATAGAAATGATTGAATCTGAACAACAGACAAAGATTGGAAAACTTGAGCAGAACCATAAAGATCTTAGGTAATAAAAGGTCTGAGCTTTCTATCATCTGAGTCCCACAAGGGAAGAAAAAAAAGGCAGAACATAGAAACATAGAAAGAAATGGCCGAAAGTCTGGTTTACGACTAGAAGGCAATCAGTTTCATCTAGCATGGTAATAGTTTAAAGCCAAAAAATCAGTTTATTCATTTTAAAAATTCAAATCTATTTATTATAAAACTCTCAGCAAATGGAATAGAAAGAAATTTCCTTCACCTGATAAAGACCATCTACTAAATCTTACGGCCAACATTCTACTTATGGTGACAGACTGCTTTTCTCAGAGATTATGAACAAGGCAAGGATCTTCTTTTTTAACACTCCTATTCAACCTTTTGAATAGTCCTCATCAGTGAAAAAAGCCAAGAAAACCAGAAAGACCTAGAGACTGGAAAGGAAGAAATAAAACTGTCCTTATTCAGAGACAATATGATCACCTATGTAGAAAATCCCAAGGAACACACACACACACCCCTCCTAGAACAAACTGAGTTTAGGTTTAGCAAGATTGCAGGATATAAGATCAGCACAAAAAATCAATTATATTTCTGTATATTGCCAATAAACAAGTAGAAACTGAAATTTAAAAAAATACCATGTACAATAGCTCACAACCCCACCCCCCATACACATATAACAAAACATGCATAGGATCTATATGCCGAAAACCATAAAATGCTCATGAAAGAACTTAACGGAGGCCCAAGTGAACGGAAATTATGGCACTCCTTCATGGACTAAAAGACACAACATAGGATTGACTTGTAGATTTACTAAAATTGCAGTCAAAATCTCAGTGAAACAGTTTGGAATTATTTGACAAAGATTTTCAAGCGTTTGTTAAGAATACTGTACAAGTAAAGGAGGCTATTCTCAAAATACAGAGATTCTTACAGAGAAATAGAGGGTATGAAGAACTAAGTGGAAATACTAGAAATAAAAAAAATTTAACAACTAAATTAATCTGTAAGCTCATCCAGTGGGTTTTCTATTTTAGTTGTTTAGAGGCAAGCAGATCCTAAAATTCACATGGAAAGGCAAAAAAAAAAAATAGCTAAAACACGTTTGAAAAAGAAGAATAAATTTAGAAAAATCACACTATCTGATTTTAAAACTCATTACAAATCTATAGAAATCAATATGGCACAGTGTTGATAAAAGAACAGACGTAGTGATCAACAGAAATGAACCGCTGCCTGGACATATATTCCTTACAAATACCCTCAGCTGGCTTTTTGTCAAATATGCAAAGGCAATTCAATTTTAATGGAAGAAGAAAGATATATTCAATAAATGATGTTGAAACAATTGGATAGGCATATGCATAAAACAGAATCTGGACCTAAATCTCACATATTATATAAAAATCAGCTCAAATGGATTGTAGATCTAAATGTGAAACATGAAAACATAAAACCCTTAAAAGACCAACTAGGGGAAAATCTTCATGACCTGGAGTTATGCAAAATTTCTCAGATATGTCACTCAAAGCATGATCTATGCCACAAAAACGTCAGTTGGACCGCATGAGAATATAAAACTGCTCTGTGAAAGGCCCTGGTAAGAGACTGAAAAGTCAAGCACAGACTGGGAGAAGATATTTGCAAATCATGTATCTGAACAAAGGATTTATGCTCAGAATATGTAAACAACTCTTGAAACTCAGGTAAACAACTCAATTTAGACATAGGCAAAAAGCTTGAGCAGACATTTCATGAAAAAGAATAAAAAGAGGGAAAATCAATAGCATGAAAATTTTCAATGTCATTAGTTATTAGGAAGATGAAAATTAAAACCACGAAGAAATACCATCACAGCTATCAAATGGTTAAAACGAAATAACGAAAATGGAAGAAATACCAGGCGCTGACGCGGATGTGGGCAGCTGGAGCTCTCAGACATTGCTGGTAGGAATGCAAAATGGCACAGTACTCGGGGAAACAGGTTAGCAGCTTCTTATAAGGTCAACATGTATTGAGCCTAGAAAAATTAAAACTATATTCACAAAATCCTGTTCTTAAATGTTTCTAGAAGCTCTAATCATAACTGCCAAAAATTGAAAACAACGGAAATGCACCTGGACAGATGAGCGGATAAATAAACTGTGGTGCACCTGCAGAATGGAATACTATTCAGCAACAAAAAGGAACGGCTACTGACATATGGCTTGGTGAGTCCCAAAATAATCTTACTGAGTGAAAAGGAGCCAGTTTCAAAAGATTAGGCTCTGCAGGATATTTATTTGACATTCTGGCAAAGAGATAAAACTAGTGATACAAAATAGAGCACTGATTGCCAGTGGCTGGGGGTAAGGGAGGTCTAATTATAAAAGATATCAGGACAGAGACTCTGGAGGTGATGAAGTACTTCTGTATACTGAAAACGGTAGTAATAACACAAATCCATACATGTGTTAAAGTTCATGGAACTAGACACAAAAAACTCAATATTTCTGTATCTTAATATGAAAAATATAAGTAAAAAAATAAAGAGACAACATTTGCTTCCTATTTAAGGCTGTCCAGACATCAGTAGTGATGTTAGTACTAATTACAGTGATGGCCACCTTAACCATGGTCTTCTGTACTTTTTGAGCATCTGCTACACGCTGCTTCTTTACCACACATTTTATATCACAACTTCTAACATTCACAGTCACCTTGTAAGGTGGGTTAAGCTCAACCTAGAAAAAAATCTGAGGGTAAGGGAAGTAAAATAATTTGTGCTATGTCTCATAGTTGATAAGTGGCTGAATTTGAACTCAAACTCAGATCTCACTGCCAACCTAATTCCAAGCCCACTTCTCCACACTGCTGCCCACTTAACAAAAATAATGGAAATGGAAAGGGAGACATTATATAATATAAATAGCAGGAAGGGAGAATCATAGTTTGATTTCCACAGATCACAAAAACTCTCAGCATATTTTATTCTAAACTTGGACTTGGTTTGAAATTCTGAGAGGCTGGGGAAAATTTAAAACCTATGCTTTCGCCATTCCCATTTTCTGAGACTCCTCCAATAGGTGGTTGTTAATTTTCAGTATGACTGAATAGTTCTCTCCACTTCTGAAATGCACAATGATGCTTATTTTCCCTAAGTGACTTACAGTTCTTGACCAAGTATTTACTAACTCCACGAATTGCAGTTTTTACATTTGAAGTAAATAATAAGCAAAGTTCTGGCCTCTCACACAGCTGACTGTCCTGAGAAGTTGTAACTGGTCCTTTATTTACATACCACTGTTACCACCAGGAAAAAAAAAAAACGTAAATCCATTTTAGAGACGCAGAAACTAAACTTTAATTTTAGTTCACTATGATTATATCTGAATAAATTTTCTGAAAACATACATACAGATGATACACATCTCTCACACAGCAAATGATATCTCCGTGAAAAGCAGAAGGATGAAGCCTGACTTCTTACCTTTGAATTATTCCCAGTAACTTTACTGGATAGTAGGTGCTTTTTCCACCAACAACCCTGGCCTAGAGTATTTTTGTCTCAACTAAGACAGATACGAAACTAAGGTCCCCATAAAAGTATTTTCTTGAATGTTTTATAATTCTGCTCCATTGAATATATTTTCTTAAATATAATAATCGTTGATAAATTTTGACTCGATAATTGGTAGGATATAACCCAAGGCAAAGCCCAATTAGTGCTTCATGCAATTTTACTGTCAGGAGTTAGGTGATTTATTTCATACCCAAAATAAAAATAACAAAAATAATTTTATCACCAACACTTTCATTTTGAGGGTCCGAATACCGCACAAGCACCACTGTTGTCAGGTATTGAAAATCTTGTTTGGAAAGAGGCTGTGCCCAGAAGAGTGCTGTGGGGGACAAGGAGGTGGGCTTACCTTCCAGCAGGTCTCTGGCCAGACCAGGTTCTGCCCCCGTGGACCGAACAAAGTCTGACAGGACTGCGTCCATATCAAGAGTCATAGGATCATGTAGAAGTGCTGCCCAACACTCGGCCGAGGTGGGGTTTGGAAGCACACTAGAAACCATCCATCTGCAGGAAAGAAGAGAAAACGCATTTTACCACGTAACGGAAACGGAGCTGCGCATGACAACCACACGCAGACACCCGAAGGAGGGAATGAGCCATTTCCACCTGCTGTCATATTTTTTTGAACTGGTTTGATCGAACTCCTTTATTCTTTATGCAAGACATTATATTATAGGACTTGAAGTAAAATATCATCCCTCTGTACACGCCATGTGAGAGGTTTGTTATGAGCCGAATATTTGTTCTCTCCCAAAATTCGTATGTTGATGTCTAATCTCCACGGTGATAGAGAAAGACAGTGCCATCTATGAAGCAGGAAATGGCCCTCACTAGATGCCAAATCTGCGGGTTCCCTCATCTTAGACGTCCCAGCCTTCAGTGCTGTGTGGAATACACTTCTGTTGTTCATAAGCTTCCCAAGTGATTGTATTTTGACACAGTAGCCCAGATAGACTAAGGCAAGGGATCCTCACTCTCTCCAGCGCTCCTGACCTTACATTTTATTAATTCTAATAACTGATGGGGAAAAAAAGACTAGATTATTTTAAAATTTCAAACACCTAAGCACGTCTAGAAAAATGTAACTGGAGTTGCTACATTTCTAATCCTCTTCCAAATTGTATAGTCTAGTAATACTTCCTCAATGTGATGGATGTTACCCACTCTATTCCAATTCTGCCTGTATCAGTGTGCCATCCTATGCCCTCAGCCCTCACCCCCTACTTGGCTATTAGGAAAAACTCCAGGTTAATCCACAGTTGACTGAAATGCCACACTTGCTAAAGATGGCTGCTCAACTATCTGCCATCTCTCTAAGAGCAGCCATCAATCCAACAACATCCTTAAGAATGCTGGATTTCCCAGGCAGCATGATCCCAGCCAGAGAGATAGAAGGATGTGCAGCCGCTGAACTCAGGCTGAATGTAGTTGCCGACTGCTGGAGAAAAGCCACTGCCACTTTGCAAGTGAGAGTGACTTACACTAGTGAATGGTGCTGGGGTCCTCAGTGGGTGCTTAATCTTTGCTGATGGAGTACAAGTGCATCCTTGTGTTTCTGTAGACAAGAGGTCTGCAAGTTATGGCCCATGGGCCAAATGTGGTCTGCCTCTGGTTTTTGTAAATGAATTTTCACGGGAACACAACCACACCCACTCATTTACATGTGGTCTGTGGCTGCTTTTGCACCTGGCTGAGTTGAGGAGTTAAAACAGAGACCTGAGGGCCCACAAAACTAAAAAGATGTACTCTATGGAACTCTATGGAAAAAGTTTGCAGACCCCATTACAGGCAATGGAAAATTTTATGCTAGAAAGTATGTAATTAATTCTACACATTGTGGGGTGAGTTTGAAGCCCCTGCTACTGATGACTGTCCTCTGTTCCTTCTTTCACAATAACCCACTGGGATGGGCGCTGCTTGGTGGGGTAGGTCTGATGTCAGGGGCGCATGCTTTAGAGCCAGGCATGTAGCCTGATTTAACCCTGGCCCTCTGCTGTCTGGCTGTGACATGGGCTTCACCTCTCTGAGCCCTCCCATGCTTCTGTGAGGATGCGGAAATGAGGTCACCTAACGTGCAAGACTGAGGACTGGGGGTCTTATGCAGGGAGGTCCGTACCCTCAGGACATTCCTGTGACCACCCCATCTTGCACATGGCTCCCAGTGGTATAATTTTTAGTTGATAGGGCTAGGAAATAAGAAAATTATCTGACCTGATGTATATGGTACCAATTAGGAAATCAATTTCTTCCTTCTCTCCATGCACTGGGGCCTCGGACAGGAGAGTGTCTTCTTTTGTCACTGCCACCTGGAAACAGATCAGAGAACAAGAGCATGTGATCTCTTTGCCCTCACACTGAGGCCAGAGGCTGGCTTTTTGTCACAGGAGGCTGCATCTTGGCCTTGACCAATTGCCTGAGGCATGTACTCTGTCTTCCTGGGCCCTATAGGTCCCTGCTCACCAGCTGACCACCAGCTCCCATGCCCAGGGCCTGGCCAGGGGCTGTCTCAGCTTTCCTCATTTTAGCAAGCATTTCTATTTCAGTGAGGATCACTTGCACAGCACAGAGCTGTTTGAAACTATTAGCACATACCACAGCAGTACATTCAATCGCAGTTATGTGGAGAAATATACACAACATGAAATTTACCATTTTAACCACGTTTAAGTGTACAATTCAGTGGAATTAAGTACATTTGCACTATTGCTCACATCTGAACAATGAGGGTGAGAACAACCCTGCCTCTTAGAATTGCAGAAAGGATAGAACGAGATGATACTGAAAGAACATGCACCATTACTATTATTATCATTGACATAGATTAAAACAATAGGCAAATGTACTGTTCTGATCTTGAGAATCGGCCCTCGACTGCCCATACATTTATACATCCCTGTTTAGCAGGCAAATGATTAAATACGAAAAAGGTCAGGTGTGTCCACCATGTCCAGCCTGGTTGGCAAGGAGATCACAGGTGCCTGGGCTCCCTGGTGAACGAATTGGATGTCTCAACTGAGATGTCGACATTCCAGAAGCCTTCATGACCCATCCTTTGCCAGACACCATTGTGACCTTGGTGAAGTGTGGTGCACTGGGGACAAAGGTTTCTGTGGATGCCACATTAGGGACACACATATTCCAGAGCATTTTTATGGTTCATACAAAAATTAAGAGAGCCCAGTGTCTTTCAGTGTGGGGGCATGAATTCTGGGAAGTTTGGCTCTGCCAAACATTCAAATGCGTGGAGCAATGATCATTTCCAAAGCTTGGCCACATATATTACTTACATAACCTCCACAACATAAGCTAGAGACAAAGATGAGTCTAAGAGTAATCTGGGCTGTGATTAAGCAATTTCTCCAGGAAGTTCAATGTAAAAAGCCCTGGGTAAGGAGGGGAGGTGCTTCTTACTGAGGAATAGGAAGAGAGGTTTGGCCAGGGAGCGACAGAGGCGCCTGTGTAAAGATCAAACAAAAGTGGCTACAGGAATGTCCGTGGGTCGCACTGAAGTTCTTCGCATTATTGCAGGATTGTTTCACTCTTTAGTTCTCCCCTTGGTGAGGCGGATACTATCAAACACACGGTGTTGTGTCTTTGTGGGAACTGAGAAAGGCTCTAAGCGGCAACAGTGGGCAGTGCTGGGACCACTGCTTGCACCTGAGGCTCAGAGAAGGCACACGTGTGGGCATTGAGCCCATTTCATTTGTCCAGCAGGTGCCCGAGGCTGGACACCCAATGGGCTCAATGGGAGGGAGACATGCCTTCTGTTCAGGGGCCATGACTGGGCTTCGTGCCCGCTCTCAGAGCATCTGGTGCCTTTAAAATAAAATATGAGCATAGATGCATCATTGGAAGCAAAACATTTCCTTAGCTGGCACTCACTCAATTGTACTTTTTCATAATTTTCTCCTAGTATGGAAAGATGGAAGAAAGGTCTCTCCTAAAATTTATACCTTTGAAAATCGCAGTAAGTGTAGGATCTACTGGAGTTTTTTTTGTCTTATATGCATTGAAATGATATACTCATCAATGACATATCAAATTCTTCAAAGTTCTTAATACGAGAGCAACAGTAGTTGAACTGACAGGAGAAAGTGGGCACTAGCAATTATAAATGACACCTCAACATCCCAGTCACTCTACTCTGGAGCTTAGATTTTTAGGCTAACAAGGAGAACACAGAATTAAGCAACGGTATACATTTTTAAAATATTTTTTTCCAATAAAAAATTTAAATATATATAAAAGTAGACAAAAGAGTATATTAAAGCCAAATACCCATCACTCAGGCATGACAATTATCAACTCTTAGCCAACTATGCTTCTTCTCTATCTCCAACCCTTCCCCTGCTCACATCATTTTGAAGCCAATTCCAGATAACACATGATTTCATCCACACTTACTTCCATCTCTCTCTAAAAAACTTTTAAAAACATAATCACAGTACCATAATCCCCACCTAGAAATTAACAATAATTCTTCAGTGTAATTAATATCCAGTGTGCAAATTTCCAATGTTATCAAATGTTACAAGTTCACATACTTAGTTTTTCAGTTGGTTTGAGTCAGAATTCAAATAAGATCTCTCACTGTAATTGGTTGATAGGTCTTTTTTAATCTACAGATTCTGCCTTCATCTTTTTTCCTCTGTATGTTGAAAAATCTCATATATATTTTTCACTCTAGAGTTTTCCGTCATCTGGCTTTGACTGACTGCTCCTGTGGTGGAGCAATCCAACACAGTGCTCCTCTGTCCTCTGTATTTTGTGTAAATCAGCATGAGGATATGAGATTTAGGTTTGATTTGGGGCACATTTTGGTGCTGTCTTCTTCTATCAGTCAGTTGGCACTGAGTATTTGACTGTCTCTGCTTGTGGTGGTAGCAGCCACTGATAATCATTGCCTTAAACCCAGCAATTCAAGAGGAGTTGCATACACGGCCAGCATAATTCTTTCATTCATTCTTTATTTATTATCCGGAATTCTTAAAGGGAAATTTCCACTAATCTACTATTTGGTAACCCAGTGATAGACATCTACTAGAAAAGGCAAGACAGATGCTTTATTTGTGACCTTTTAACTCATCATTTTACTTGGACAACATGGCTCACTACCTTCCTTCAATGGGATCAATTTGTTACTTCTTTTTCTGAAATATTTTGCATTCGTCGATTTAAACAGATTGTATGATTTCCATCTGTCCAGTATAGAGCAGCTTCTGTCTTTATGGATGCTTAAGTCCTGAATCAGCTACTAGTGTAGCTGATAGTTTCTTTTCTATCAGGTGTGACAAGATGTTTCAGGTCTCTCTTCTACATTTACTGTTTTGGATCTAGGATTAGATATTTCTCCGAAGAACTATGAGTCTTTTTTATTGAGAATGGTTTATCAAGACCACATTCTGGGTGCTTGGTGTACCCATAGCTAGTGGTTTAGTCATTGTTTACAGGACTTTTTGGTAAGGTAAGAAATACGTTTGTTTTAATAAAAAATACATCTTGAGTTCATTCTAATATTTCCAATTCAAATGGAAGACTTAGGAGTTTTACTTAACCTAATCTCTTTTATGTATGAACCTCCTTCCCCAACCGAATCCTAGTTCTTAATAAAATCAGAAATGATAGCATATTACACAGTTACCCTTTCAACTTATCCTGCTCAAATCAAAGCTATTGATTAATGTGTGCTAAATTTGTATCTTGCGAAATTCTTACCATTTATAGCAATTTTCAATAGTTTTTAAGTTTCCCAGATACACAATCACATCAAATGCAAATATAGTTTGTGTTAACTCTTTTTTTTTTTGAGACAGAGTATTTCTCTATTGCCCAATCTTGTCTGATTTTCCTGATTAATGCATTCAAAATATTACATATTATGAGAGATTATAGGAATCTTTGCTTTGTTCCTAACTTTAGTGGGAATAACTTTGGTGTTTCCACGTTGAAAAAGATGCTGGGTGTTGGCTCTTGGGATAAACACACACACACACACACACACACACGTGCAGACTCACACACACATTTTTTTTTACAAATTTAATTTAAGTTCCAGGATACATGTGTAGGATGTGCAGTTTCATTGCATAGGTAAATGTGTGCCATGGTGGTTTGTTGCACCTATCTACCCATCACCTAGGTATTAAGCCTTGCACACCTTAGCTATTTATCCTGGTGCTCACCATCCCCCGATGCTCACCATCCCCCAACCCCCACAGGCTCCAGTGTTTGTTGTTCCCCTCCATGTGTCCATGTCTTCTTATTGTTCAGTTCCCACTTATAAGTGAGAACATGTGGTGTTTGGTTTTCTGTTTCTGTGTTAGGTTGTTGAGGATAATGATTCCATTTCCACCCATGTCCCTGCAAAGGACATGATCTCGTTCCTTTTTTTGGTTCTTTTTTTTTTTGAGATGGAGTCTCCCTCTGTCACCAGGCTAGAGTGCAGTGGTGCCATCTCAGCTCACTGCAATTTCTGCCTCCCAGGTTCAAGCGATTCTCCTGCCTCAGCATCCCGAGTAGCTGGGACTACAGGCACATGTCATCATGCCCAGCTAATTAATATATTTTTAGTAGAGATGGGGTTTCATTGTGTTGGCCAGGATGGTCTTGATCTCTTGACCTTGTGATTTGCCCACCTCAGCCTCCCAAAATGCTGGGATTACAGGCATGAGCCACTGTGCCTGGCTGATCTCGTTCCTTTTTTATGGCTGTATAGTATTCCACAGTATATGTGTACCACATTTTCTTTAAAATTTTTTTCTTATAAGTTATTGGGGTACAGGTGGTATTTGGTTACATGAGTAAGTTCTTTTGTGGTGATTTGTGAGATTTTGGTGCACCTATCATCTGAGCAGTATACACTACATCCTATTTGTAGTCTTTTATCCCTCCCGCTGTTCTTCTCCCCAAGTCCCAAAAGTCCATTGTATCATTCTTATGCCTTTACATCCTCCTGGCTTAGCTCCCAAATATCAGTGAGAACACACGATGTTTGGTTTTCTATTCTTGAGTTACTTCACTTAGGACAATAGTCTCCAATCTCATCCAGGTTGCTGCAAATGCCATTAATCCATTCCTTTTTATGGCTGAGTAGTATTCCATTGTATAACGACTACAGTTTCTTTATTCACTCATTAATGGCATTTGGATCGGTTCCATGATTTTACAATTGTGAACTGTGCTGCTACAAACATGCGTGTGCAAGTATCTTTTTTCATATAATGATTTACTTTCCTCTGGGAAGATACCAAGTAGTGGACTGCTAGATCAAATGGGGGTTCTACTTTTAGTTCTTTAAGGAATCTTC